TTTTTTTGAGATACGCAGACGGCGGGGCATTACACAAAATTAATTTTTATTGATTGCTGGGAGTAGTAGCTATAATGTATAGCTATTTTCGAAGCGGCACAAGCAACCGTGTAGAGACTAAAATCGAAAATTGACAAAAATCAAGACTTTTTTAGGGTTTTTAATTTTTTTGAGAAACTCAGACGGCGGGGCATTACACAAAACTAATTTTTCTTGTTTTCTAGGAGTGGTAGCTAACATGTGTAATTATTTTCGAAGCGGCACAAGCAACCGTGTAGAGACTACAATCGAAAATTGACAAAAATCACGACTTTTTTAGGGTTTTTAATTTTTTTGAGAAAGTCAGACGGCGGGGCATTACACAAAACTAATTTTTCTTGATTGCTAGGGATGGTAGCTAACATATGTAGCTATTTTCGAAGCGGCACAAGCAGCCGTGTAGAGACTACAATCGAAAATTGACAAAAATCACGACTTTTTAAGGGGTTTTTAATTTTTTTGAGATACTCAGACGGCGGGGCATTACACAAAATTAATTTTTATTGATTGCTAGGAGTAGTAGCTATAATGTATAGCTATTTTCGAAGCGGCACAAGCAACCGTGTAGAGACTAAAATCGAAAATGGACAAAAATCAAGACTTTTTTAGGGTTTTTAATTTTTTTGAGAAACAGACGGCGGGGCATTACACAAAACTAATTTTTCTTGATTGCTAGGGGTGGTAGCTAACATATGTAGCTATTTTCGAAGCGGCACAAGCAACCGTGTAGAGACTACAATCGAAAATTGACAAAAATCACGACTTTTTCAGGGTTTTTAATTTTTTTGAGACACTCAGACGGTGGGGCATTACACAAAATTAATTTTGGTTGATCGCTAGTAGTAGTAGCTTACATTCATAGCTATTTTTAATATGGCATAAACAGCCCTTAGAATATATGAGAATCCGGCCGGTATAGTAAAAAGTAGGCCTAACCGCGATTCGATAGTTTTATGGCTGAGATTTTATGGATAACTTCACACTAACAACAATTTATACCAATAATCAGTTGCAATATATCATTCAAAGATGTAACTAGAATACGCTGCTTGATTTAAAACCTACAGTTGTAAAAGTTCTCGTCAATAATGTTTTTACTAGGTTTGGAATCTCATTGGAACTTCATTCGGATCAAGGGCGCAATTTCGAGTCACGGCTATTCCAAAAGCTTTGCGAACTGTTTGGCATTCATAAGACCAGAACCAGGGCATTGCATTCACAATCAGATGGCAAGGTTGGTAGAAGCAACGAGACAATCGAGGAACATCTCTTCAAAATAGCATGTAACCCTATTTCTGATGACATGCAGGTCAGCCGTGCATAACACAACAGGAATTACACCACGCAAAGTTTTGTCTGGAAGATAGCTCCCTGTGACTTGGTGTTTGGGTCACCAGATGTCGCGGACATGGAAGCCGATGACTATTTTGATGATTTGCGAAAAAGTCTGCTTGAGATCCATGACATAGTTAGAGAATAATGCCGGGGTTCGCGAGTGATCGAATGGAAACGAGATTTGATCTTAGGGCGAACTCTAAGTTTTCCAGCAGAATGAAAGATAGATCTCCCTAGCTAACACCAGTATGGAATTATAGACTCAACGCAGTGGTGCATCGTATCCGACGCGGCCCCACAGGTAAGATGAAGGTGGTACAGTACATCTTGACAGGTTGAAAGCTTATCACGAAAATTGATGGTCAAATCATGACGATCTGATTTGAGAGGGAGGCAGTATTATAGAAATACATCGACAAGTCGTTATTTACGTCGAGCAACGCATATTTTTCTGTGAATTCCCGGGGGAATATACTTGATAAACATGTTTAAATAAAGAATGAAGGCTTTCACGGCCGGTCAAATCTAGTAAAAAAAGTTTTTTTCCCGGGCCGATGCCGTGGTCCATTAGTATTTCTACCTAACGTTTCGTCTACTGCTGCGGTAGACATCTTCAGAGGCGGTGTGGTAGAGAACGAAGTGTTCTCTCCCGTGTTCCTCCCATGACTGGATTCGACGTTTTGGGACCTTCGTTATTTATATCCAGGGTTGTGGGCGTGGCTTGTACTACGCTATTTTCCTTGTCACGTTCTCGGAACGGAAGGGTTTTTCTTTTTCGGAGAACTGGCAACCAGCTTTTGCTGAGGTTCATGCCCTCTTCTTTTCTGTTGAAGTTGTTGTGGTGTTTCTGTATTTCTATGACTTCTCTGTGGAGTCTGGTGTAAAAATGTTTGGTTCTATCCAATGCTTGAGTCTGGTCGAAACGAATGACATGGTTTGTTTGTGTAAGCACGTGTTCGGCGATTGCTGATGTATCATTTGTCCCTGCTGACAGTTTCTTTTGTGTTCTTGGACCCTGGTGTTGATTGAGCGTTTGGTTGTTCCTACATAGACAGATCCACAAGAGCAGGGAATTCTATAGACGCCAGCCGTTTCAAGAGGTGCCCTAGGATCCTTGGACGATCTTAGACTTTGCTGAATTGTTTTTGTGTGCTTGTAGATAGGCTTAACGTTGTGTCTTTCTAGCGTTCGTCCTATGCGATCTGTGAAATTTTTGATATAGGGAAGAAAGGCTCTCCCTGCCATCTGTGCTGGTTCCTTGTTATTAGTGCGCTGTTGCTTCGGTCATATGGCTCTATTTATCTCCTGCTTGGAGTACCCATTTCCTTCAAGTGCTGATTTTAGGTGTTGCATCTCATCCTGAAGGTATCTGGGTTCACAAATCCGGATTGCCCTGTCAAATAGAGTTTTAATGACTCCTCTCTTTTGCCTAGAATCGTGATTGGATTCCTTGTTGAGGTATCTGTCCTTATGCGTCGGCTTCCTATATACTCTGTGTCCCAGTTTACCTGAGGGTAATCTTTCTAAGAGGACGTCGAGGAATGCAATTTTGTTGTCCTTCTCAACTTCCATCGTGAACTGTATCCTGAGTTCTATTGAGTTTAGATGATTAAGGAAGTTTTCGAGCTCTGCCTCTCCATGGCTCCAAACAACAAATGTGTCATCTACATAGCGAAACCAACAAGTAAGTTTCTTTGTGGTCGTTCGCAGTGCCATTTGTTCGAAGTGGTCCATGTAGAAGTTGGCGATAAGCGGGCTGAGTAGACTCCCCATTGCGACTCCATCTGTCTGCTCAAAGAATTCATTTTGTCATTGAAAGTAAGTAGTCGTCAGACAGTGGTTGATTTCCTCCGGAAAAACATCTTGTAGATACTCTAAGGCCTGATTCACTGGTACCTTATTAAACAATGAGACGACATCAAAACTAACCAGAATTTCGTTTGGTAGTAGAGTGATGTCACTGATCTTTTTGATGAAATGAGTTGAGTTGAGTCGAGTCTTTAAAGCTGGATTGGCCAATCCGTGGCTAAAGGAGGGTGGTGAGGTATTTGGCTATGCTGTATGTGGGCGAATCTATTGCACTTACAATGGGCCTGAGTGGGTTGTCTGTTTTGTGAATCTTAGGAAGCCCATACATTCTAGGTGGTAAGGCCTCAGATTTGATGAGTTTCCTTATGTTTTCCGGGTCCAACGGTAGTGCTCGGACGAGTTGATTGGTTTTTCGCTATATAGACGCAGTGGGATTGCGCTTAAGCTTTCTGTAGGTGGAGGAGTCTAGCAGTTCGGAAATTTTTGATTCATAGTCAATCACGTTCATGATTACCGTTGTTTCTGTGAATAGCATTGAGTGCAACTCAGCACAGTTCCCAATATTAGCACCACAGTACAGCACACTGGAAGCACAGTCAATTACCACGAAAAAATATAGAAAAATTAAATAGGCGGGGCTAACTTGAACCAAAAAAACCTTGTAAAATGAAATGTTTCCAAGTATAGGTAGCTAATATTTATTTAATGCCAGATACATTTGCGTTTAATGGTTTTATCATCTAATAATCACATACATAAGTACTCCACATAAAATTATTGTGGATATATATAGGTACCTGTCACGAAACACTACAATAATATGTTCAATCAATAAAATTACTCAAACTAGTATAGGTAAAAAGCTTAATACAGATAAAGAGAATAAGCAAGGAACAACGTAAAAAAAAAAACATTTGAACATTTGAGATAATAAAACTACTCGCATGCAATTAAAATAAAATAAAGTGCTCAAATTAAATTCGTGACATTTTGAAATAAATTAACGATATTTTTTTCTATGAAGGTTGTAACTGATAAGAACATATCTAAATGATTTACGTCAAACTAACTTTGGTTACGATATCAACAACAAAAAAGTGGAATACTGGAAGATCTGTATTCATGCACGTTGATTTGCTGATTATGAGGAAATTTTTGCCTAATTTTTCCTTCATACACCTTTGCTTGAGCCTAAAATCAATTTAGCATTATCTGTCTAGGGCTGAAAATACGATTTTCTAAAAATGGTGAGAGCTCATTATTTTCATTTTATCTGGTTTCATTTTGAAACCATTTCTTTTCAGGCTCGAATTCTGGTTTTAAAATTTCTCTGAAAAATTTCATCTGCTTCCGAAATTAGCACCATATCATCTGCAAATCAAGGGTGGTCTTTCTTGAGGACCACGCCTTTAGCTGACCAGTCGAGTTTTTTTCTGGCAGTGTCCAGAAACAATAAAAATTCATAGTATGAGTTAATAACAGTGGATCATTATTCGATCATTAATTCAGCTGTTACAATTATTTTATTTTTTTTGCAAGACCTGAGAAAGATTTGCCATCATTATAGAAAGAAGTAAAAACTGAGCTGCTCACATTGACTTTTTATGGAATGTTTCATTACTCTTATGATATATTTAAATTCATAATTTTTGGGTATTATTTCTATCATGAACTTTTTACGTATAATTATCCATTATTTCTCTCTTTTGTCTCTAGTCCATACGCAAAGCATTGCTTTTTCAATTTCATGTTACATTTACAATGATGTTGAAAAAAAAATCGAATACAACTATGATAGTTAATTATAAATAAATTACCTGTTAAAATAGTTATCAATGAATATTCAACCATTTTGCACTGCGAAGAAACACCAAACACCGTTCCACCCCCGATATTAAGTAGTCAGTCAAAGTTGATCTGATTACCTTAAATAATAACCACTCTATAATAATCTTATCTATTTCGATATTTTTCTTTTCAATGAACCCCGCACTTTTTATGTCACTATCATCTGTGAAAAAGAAACACATGCATTACCCCATTCCAATTTGGATTGTACTGCTTTTATTTATATTTATTTTATTTTTCTTTGAACATTTTTTGTTTCAAAAATAAAATTTTGTCAACAAATTATTCGAAATCCTATTGTCAGTTAATATCCACCTACTTAAACTAAACACTATTATGAGCGGTTAAACTACTATTAGGGACAAATTTTCCCAAAAAAATTTTTTTTCTGGCCAGGCTAATGCTTATTTTTTTTTAGCTTAATTCTTCATTGGAGGCCGAACACTTTATAATTTGAATTTTGCAGACTGGCCTGGACAGAATAACAATTTTTGCACTATTTGAATCACCGACCTTGCGTATCGGCGCAAAATGGAATGCATGGAAGGTTATCGTTACATAGGACCGAATACTTTAAAAATAATAACGATGATTTTTTACTCTGAAAATTATATCAACTAAAAATTTGATTAAATCAATTATATTATTTATTAACAGTTATTAAGTTAATAATAATAATAATAATAAATAGTGTAAATCCTTAATATATCTATAAATAAAAAATATAACAACAAAAATGGACCTAAAATAATTATAGAAATAATATAAAATATCAAAAACAATCGCATAAATATACATAAATGAAAGAATTTATCAAATGTAAAAAATCTCGTCCAATCCTTTGTCCTCCTGAATGGTACCTACACTGAAGCCGCATTACCTGGTGGAATGGCTATGCTGATTCGCTGAGTTAAGAAACTACGAGATTGATAAGTTGGAATTTTGGAACTTATTTCCGAAACCAATCTCCTAGCCTCATCACCCCAAGGACCTAAGGTCTCTACGGAAAAACGGAAAAATATAAAGTGGTCTTCAAGCTCAGAATACTTTCTATGTTTTTTTTCTTCAGCCAGCAAAGCAGCTGACCCAGATTTTTTTGATGATTTATTGACATACGATTTTGCCAAAGTATGGCATAAAGTTGCATCCCAGATTAACTGTTTTCCATTTTTCCATGAGATCAGCGTCATTCCTTCCGTTTGCCTTTGTAATGACAGGATTGTCATCTAAGAATGCCAGGTCCTAAGCGAGGAGGAAAGTTAAACAAGATGTTACTTTTATGATGATCTTTATTAGTCTGCTTGCCCTAGATTATAATTGTGTCTCCATGACCAACTATGTTATTATAAACAATGTGCATAACCAAATAATATCACGTAAGTTTATACAATTAATGTTGAACTAACTAACTGTTAATCAAACATATAATATACTGGGTGATCTGATCATATCGCATCACATCTCCCCCTTTTTGAAAGAATGGACTTTATTCTTGGCCACAAAATAAAGAACATTCTCATATGAACAAAAAAAAAAAAAAATTGAGTAGGAATTGATACGAAATAATCGCAAAGTACCCTTACGTAATTTTACTACATAATTATAAATAAATACATCACTGACGAATACAAAAAAAAATATGCATACTATGGATGGATCTACTGTAAAGAAATATTTTAGTAAACAAAAACGTTAATGAACCCATTATTCAAAAATAACAATGTTTCAATATTATATTGCATAAGAGCTCAATTTTCAATTGAACTTGAAACTTATATTTAATTACAACCTTCACTTAATTTCCTAACCCATAATATGTATAATAAAACAACAGATAAAAATTCTGATGTGGTGAAATGAAATGAAAATGCAAAATATTTGAAAATTCGACTTAATCAATATATTATAATATAAACATATACCTAATTATGAAATAAATCAATAATATATGTTCCCTTTTCTTTTAAAGACTAAGTTTACAATAATTGTTTATTTATTACTGACCTATGCTAAAAATTAATTAATTACTATCGGTAAAACACTCGCGAGTTAGAATTTTATAAAATTGTTTTGTTTCGAAACACGTAATAATAATTATAAATTTCTGTGAAACGGTCGCACTCTGTTTTTATGCACTGTCACCTCTTTCCCGCTTAAATCTCTAAGTGTACAATTAACTCCATTATTACTTACAACAGTAAAGGGACCTTTATACCAAGAATCAAATTTTGTTCGGTTCTCGTTATTCAAAATAACTAGATCACCGGCTTTGAGATGCATTTGCTTCGATTGTTTATCATATTCGCGCTTTCGATTTTCTTTAGCTTTTGAAAGAAAATCGTTTGCCCGCTTGTGCGATACTTGCAAGCGATAACGAACTTCTTGATAAAAAGCATCGATATTGTATACAGGGTCTACCTTAGTTCCTAAAAGCATTTCAGGTAGTTCCGCTTTTCGCGCAAAGATCAACTCAAAAGGTGTATAATTATGGTATATACTAGGAGTAGTATTATAACAGAAGCTGTAATATGGAATCCATTCATCCCAATCGCTCCTTGAGTCGTTAATTTACATTCTAATGTATTCATTAAAAACTCTATGGTTCCTTTCGCATCCTCCAATGCTCTGGCTGTGATACGCTGTTGAGAACTTGTGCGATACATTGAGAAGTTTGAAGAGTTGTGCTAAAACCTCATTTTTGTACTCAGTGCCCATGTCAGTTCTGATTTCTTGCATTGGTCCATATGTTAGTATAAATTCGTTCATTATGGCCTTTGCTATTGTATTTGCTTCTTTATTTGGGACTGGAACTATCACAACAAACTTTGTTAATTCGCACTGTATTGTGACGGCGTAACTATTGCCTCTCTCAGTCTTTGCAAATGGTCCAATAGTATCAATGCATACTATATCGAAAGGTCTTTGAGGAGTGGGCGTTATAACCATAGGTTCCATATGAGTAGACTTCCTTTTATTCATTTGACATTTTAGACATTTTCTCACATAATTGGCTACGTCTTTGGACATGCATTTCCATCGATAATGTGCTCTTAATTTTTTCAGAAGTTTCTTCTGGCCGCAGTTACCTCCTGTGGCCGGGTCATCATGTAGTTTATGTATTAGTCTTGATTTTTCTTCATTATTTGTAATTACTTGAGGATCCTTGTATAATATAATAGTTAAATTTTTTAGATGCCTGCGTCCCATTTCTTTTAACTCATTTATTGTGCACTTTTTAAATATTTCATCATTAATTTTCAATTTTATAGCTTTAAAATTTTGATCGCCAGCCATACATTCAAGCTTAGACAGTATTTCCTCTAAAGGAAATTTGCCATTAGTGATCAATATCTTTTTTTCAGCGCTGAATTGACTTTTTATTCCTACCATTATCCTAAGATAATTAGTCTTAATTTCAAATGTCAAAATTGGAATTTTTAGTAAATCGCAATTATCTAATATTTCATAAACTTTTGGGACAATTAATGCGGTTTCTTCTCTTTTTGGTTTATCTGTAGTAACTTGATTTTTAATCATGGACCTTGTGACGGCTAAGATATGTGCAGACTCGCTTGAAATATCCTTCAATTCCTCTATGTTAATTCTTGACAAAGCATCTGCACCTACATTATCTTTGCCTTTGATATATTCCACTTCGAAATAATATTCTTCCAGATCAAGGCGCATTCGTGTTAATTTTGATGACGGATTTTTCATGGAAAATAAATATACAAGAGGTTTGTGATCTGATTTCACCAAAAACCTATTTCCATATAAATACGGTCTAAAATAATTAATAGCCCAATGAATCGCCGCTAATTCTTTTTCTATTGTTGCTTTATTTGATTCGCCCTTTGTAAACCCTCGTGACGCGTAGGCAATAGGTAAGTCCTGGCCTTCAAAATTTTGTGATAGAACTGCCCCACAAGCCTCTTTTGACGCGTCTGTAGTTAAAATAAATTGCTTACTGAAGTCTGGGTATTGCAGTATTTGTGGATCTATAAGTGCTGTTTTCAATTTATCAAAAGAATTTTGACATTTGTTACACCACTCGAACTTAGCATTTTTTCTTGTTAAATTATTTAATGGCTTAGATATTTCCGCAAACTGAGGAATAAACCTTCGGTAATAGTTGCAAAACGCAATGAAACGTTTCACTCCATCAGCATCCGTCGGTTTAGGGTATTTCTTTATGATTTCATACTTTGCATCGTCTGGTAAAATTCCTTTATTTGTAATTTTGTGTCCTAGATATGAAACTTGTTGTTGGAAAAATGTGCATTTTTCGGGATTTAGTTTTAAACTATATTTTCTGCACACTTCGAAAACACTTTTAAGATTTTGTAAGTGGTGATTTTTGGAACACCCTATGACAATAATATCGTCCATATATAAAAATGCTTTTTCAGGTGTGATGCCCGCAAATGCAATACTCATCATTCTTTGAAAGCTGTTAGGGCTTACTTTTAGACCAAATGGCAACCTTGTGAATCTGTATGTTCCAGTATCTGTGCTAAAAGTTGTAATGTCCCGAGAATCTTCTTCGAGGGGTATTTGATGAAAGCCTGCCTTTAAATCTAGCGTTGAAAACCATTTTGCTCTGCCCAATTGGTCCAGAATATCATCTATTCTAGGCAAAGGGAATTTGTCGGCCACAAGCTTACTCTGATTTATGGCTCTAAAATCTATACAAAGTCTCCATGCCTTTTTGCCATTGGTTGATTTTTTAGGAACAAGTAAAATAGGATTATTATATTCCGCTGACGACGGCTCAATAATACCATTTTCAAGCATTTTGTTTACTTGATCCGTTATCTCCGCTTTCTGTGCATGTGGAATTCTATAGTTCTTAACAAATATTGGATTCGGATCGGTTAATTTAAATTTTTGTTTATAAAAATTGTTTGTCGTCAGTTTATCCGAACTTAAGGCAAATATATCTGAAAATTTCGTGCAAAGAGCAATCATTTCTTCTTTAGCTATTTCCGGAATATTTTGATTTAGCTCTTGCAAAAGAGTAGCTTCTCTATCTCCTGTTTTAGTTTCTATATTATAAATGGAATAATTGC